GGATCTTCATAAGGTGCTTGTGAACTTAGATAGAGGGGTGTAGTCTTGGATAGACCGATAGTTTTAATTCCGCATTTGTTTCGGTTAGTCGGCACGTTTAGTTTTAGAAAGGACTATTCAGCCCCCTCTAGTCTGTCATCTTGACCCTACAGCTGGCCACGCCGTGGACCGTGTCTAGCTCATACGACTCGAGGGGGACGGGGCCGCCGATGATGTGGTAGGAGGATGGAGGTGACAGGCTATGGAGGCAGGAGGCTAGCCGGTTGGGGGTGGAGTCGTAGAGGGGCTGGGTCACCATGCCAGATACTCGTTCTGTGCCGCTGTGGCTGCGCATACCTACTGGCGACAGCGGCCATGCGGGACCGCAGGTGATTGCCGACGGGCGCTAGGGCAGGCCAAACTGGTCTACCGGTGCACCGGAGCCGCCGACTATGAGTGGTGACTGGTCCCTGGCGGAACGCCAAGCCCCGCGTCGGTACGCCGCCCGAGCCAAGGCCGTCGATGCCGGGACTAACGCGGCGATGGTGATGGCGCCGCTCGAAGGGCCCTTAGGATCGGCCTGCCCAAAACCCTAGAATCTCGGTAGGGCCACGTGAGTGGGGGCGGGGGCGACCGCGGTGACAGGGCACCTGAGGTTCCGTACAGCGGTGAGCTGCTGCGGGAGCGAGTCGAGGATGCGGAGCGGGCGACGGGGCACGACAGTTGTAGGAGGCGGATGTGACAAGGTGCAATGTTGTGTGTTTCTTTTCTTTTTTTGGGATTGGAGGGGGGAGATGTTTCTGGAGGGTGGCTGGCGTGTCTGGGTGGACGGCTGGGGCATTTGGATTGAGGCTGGCTGGGAGAGCAGGACAACTGGGGGTGATCTTGGTGGGAGGGTGACCGAGAGCGTGACAGGGTGACCGGTTCTGTAGGACTGTAGCAGGTTATTGTTGGGAGGTGATCTGGAAAACTAAAGATTTGTATGATTAGACGCCTAAAATTGGCTACTGCTACTGCTTTATTTGCTCATTACTGCTAAAAAAGCACATGCGGTATTCTTAAATTGGACTATCACAAAGTTTTGAACTCAGTTATATAAATTGCGTGCATCTAATCTATCTTAATCCGTGCATACTTTAATCAGACTAGGACTCACTACTATGGCAATCTTAATCGAGGTGGGCAAAAAGCATTAATCGAGGCAGTTTTTCCAACCGCCTCCGTTGAAAGGTCATGGTTAATCGGGCCTTTAATGGAGGTTGTTGGCCGCCCGCCTTGGTTAATCAAATAAAAAAAAAAGAAAGCCTATGGACAAGCCCAGCGAGCCCATTCATGGGCTCGCCGAGCCCATCCACGTGCCGTCGCCGCTCGCCGGTGACGCATCTTCGCTGGACCGCTGGGATCCGCCCGCCCGCCTCTGGATCTGGTCGCCTACCGCTGGATTTGGCCTCGGGCCACCAGGATCCGGCCACACGTCGCCGGATCGGGCCGCACGCCGCCGAGAACCGGCTACCCTCTGCCGGATCTATGAGCTGAAGGGTGGAGAGGGGAGGAGCATCGCCGGATCTGGAGCAAGGGCGCTGCTATGGCCCCCAGCCACCGCGCCGCCGCCGGGAGAGGAGGGAAGGAGCGCCACCGCATGCTCATGCCGCAGTGTCGGTGTTTCGAGTAAACACCAACGAGTAAATTTGTATGTTGCGCGTCTGATCCGGATGGTGTGCTTAGAGGACACAAGGATTATACTGGTTCGGGCCAAATGTCCCTACGTCTAGTTTTGGGCTGCTCGTGTTACCAGCACTGAGTTTGTAGTAGGGGTTACAAACTGGCGAGAGAGGGAGGAGCTCCCAAGTCTCTGTGGTTCAATTGCTCGATGCTTCTACTGCTCGATCTATCGGTCGATCGATCTCTCTGAATGGTGCCCTGCCTTCCCTTTTATAGACCCAAGGGGAGAGAATAGGATACCAGAGACCGAGAGAAGGGAAGAGGGAAAAAAGAAAGAGAAATAAAGTCACAGGGGTGTGCCGTCCTCCTCTTCGTGTGGGTCCTATTGACCCTGTAGATCATGGTGGCAGCGGCGTCGCACCGGGGTCCTATTGGCCGATGCAGCATACATGTGGGCGTCGTGCGTCGTTCTTGTCTTCCATCCCATCCGAGCGGACGGAATGGTCAAAGGGTCTCTTGACAGAGTCCATACGGGGGGATGGCGGTACAGTGCCAGTCAACTGACACCGGTTGACTAACATTGGACGGTGGTCAGGCAGGGAGTTGGCAGCACAGTGCTGGCCTGTTGACGTGGTGGGCGATGTGAGTCTCCTAGCATGGCCATACGCAACCGCCAGTCGCATCTGGACGCGCCCGAGATGTGCTCCCAGGCATGCGCCTCCACGCCATAGTGGTTGAAGCGGTTCGGGTCCCACCCTGAGGCTACTGCTTTTGTCCGGTGACAAATCCAACCCCCAGGGAATGGGCGGGGCAGAAATCCCACCCTAGGGGCCGGGCGAGACGGAATCTGGCCCTCGGGGGTCGGACAAGGCAGAGCCCTCTCCGTGGGACCGAACGAGTCAGAGCCCGCGCCCTAGGGTCGGAAGAGTCAGAGTCCATGCCTTAGGGTCGGACGAGGTGGAACCTCGTCCTTGGAGTCGAAGCCCACGCCTTGGGGTCGGACGAGGCGGAAACCTCATCCTCAGAGTAGGACGAGGCGTGGCCCCTAGGGGTCGGACGAGGCGAAAACCTCATCCTCGGAGTCGGACGAGGCGTGGCCCGGCTCCTGGGGGTCGGACAAGGTCGCAGTTGCGTCCTTATCCATCGGATGAGCCGATGTGACGCTCATTAATCCTTTGGCTCGGATACCCGGATATAGATATCGACACACAGCGTCGCCGTCGGGAGAGGAGTGGAAGAGCGCCGCTGCAAGCTTGTGCCACTGCGCCACCACTGGGAGAGGAGGGGGCGTGCGTTGCTGGGAGACGAAGAGCGACACAGAGAGGCCGCGCCCGCTCCACCACGCCTAGCCCGCATCGCCACGCCGCGCCCAGCCCACACCTCCACGCCGCTCGCGATGGAGAGAGAGTGGAGGGAGGGAGAGAGAGAGTGAGAGAGTGGAGGAGGGAGGGGCGCCACTGTGCGCCTGTGCAGGGGCGTGAGGGAGGCGCGCCGCTGCGGAGTCAGAGGGAGGGGCGCCGCTGTGTGGGGGTGTAAGGCGTGCGGCGTGACTTAGGGAGAGAGAGGTGGGGATGGAAGTGAGGATTTGTTGTGCTCGCGGTATTATACTAGGAACCCGTTACCAGGCCTAAATGGGCTATCTGGGCCACTATTAACCGAGGCGGGCCATATAATGTGACCGTCTCGGTTAATGTATTAACCGAGTACATTAACCGAGGCAGTTGCGTTAGGATAACTGCCTCGGTTAATGATTAACTGAAGCGGTTGTTGGACTGGCTGCCAGCCACCCAATAACGAAGGCGGGCAACCGGCCCACCCGCGTCCGATACAGTTTGTGAAACACCTCGGTTAAGTTTTTGTGTAGTAGTGATTGTTTGTTCGACATGTCCCGCTCTCGTCAAACTATCCATAAAAGCCCGGCAGACACGATCGATAGTGACTGACTTTGGCAATTCTAGACTTCTGAGTTTTGCAATTAGGATTTCTATGAAGATTATGCTTATGATGCTGATGCTTAAAAAATGCAATGATGGGTTGTGAAAGGAGTCAAAATAGGAGAGAAGAATGCATCGGTTGCATAGGGGTCTATTTGGCATGACTCCGTCAGCAACTTCTGTGGAGGAGCCGTACCGAACACTTTGGAAGGAGAAGTTGTTTTCTTATGAACAAAAGAGGAGTCGGAGCCATTTTGGGGTCTAGAGGAGCTGCAATTTGTGGCTCCTTCTCAAGTGTTCCGTGCTCCTCTGGAGAAGCACTTGCAAAGGAGCCATGCCAAAGAAACCCTAAATGTAATGATATACTAGCTGCAACTAGTTTTGCTCTATATATTAATTTGGGTTGCAAAATGTACCATGGGTTTTTTAAATGTTTCATGAGTTCTCAATTGGATCCTCGAACTAAAAAAAGTCACTATGTAGGTCCTCAATCTACTACTAATTCTCATTTGGGTTCTTGAACTTAAAAAGTGACCATGTAGGTCCTCATTCTGCTGTTGTGCCTATATGGCCATGTCGATTAAAGTTGTAGAAAAAACGTCCTCTTCATCTCTCTCCCCTTGCAATTCCTAGCCCCCTCTCTTACAGTCCACCTCTCTTGGTCTATCCCATGGCTGTTGAGTGTGCGCCTATGGAGCGTAGGTGTAGCTGCAAGGCTAGTAGGTGGTGCAGGCGCAAGGCGGGCGCGGGAGCGACAGGAAAACCACATTCATGTTGAAGGGAGTGGACATGGAGGAGGTAGGGGAGGGAGTGGTGTTTTCCGCAAGTTTCATCAAGCATTATCCATGCTGGCACAACCACATAAGCATATAGAGGTGATCTGGTAGGATTTGAATCTGCTTGGGCGCGACATTAGTTGAATGACCTAAATCGTCACTTTTAGACCCAGGTGAGTAATCATATATATAGTTGATTGAGGATCCAGATTGTTTTTTTTTTAGTTTGAGGGGTGAGAATCCGTAAAAAATTGGGGCCGATGGTACATTTTGCTCTAATATATATATCCGGGTTGCTTAAAACTTGATATCTAGATTGCAACATGCTGCTGATTCGAGCACGGCAGCTCGCACTTGGCAGTCTCCATCGAATCTACCCCTCCCAACAGGCAACAGCTTGACAGTTGACACTTGTTCCTTTGTTTACCTATACGCTCTTCGATCCTTCTCGTAACCTATGTCCATATGCTGGGAGCACATGGTATATACAGTACAGATCAACAGGTCAGGAACGCGGGTCGAATGATCGATCGGATCATTAGTTACTTTGATTGATGACTCATTGAGATCACGCGAGCATGGACATACGTATACGTACATAATCACTACACGCAACACGTAAACACACAGACACCAGTAATAACAATCTTCAGACGAACTCATCCTCCATTTCCTGCATGGACTTGCCGGCCGAGGCGATCTGGCGGTTGGACGTCATCTTCTCGGCCACCATGAGGCCCTTGTAGCTCCGTATCTCCGCCCACTTCTCCTTCTCCAGCCTTTCCATCTCCTCCTTCCGCTTCTGCCAATTCAGTGATCGTTAGACGCCATACATAGCCTCGCTGTTATATTTATATAGGGGAAAAAACATGCACAGTAGCTCTCAAGAAGAAGGCTCAGATATCAATCAACCATACCTTCTCTTTCAGCTGCATCTTCCTCTCGGCCTTTTCTGCTGCATTTGATGCCTCTTTCTCGGCTGCACACAAGGGAAGAAAGATTATTAACGTGCATCTGCCATGCATGATGCATGGTGTACATTACATGGGCAGATCAGCGTCTATGTAAGCACCTTTCAAGTCTGCTCGGCGTTCTACCCGCGTTTTATTCAACCTGTTGATGATCTCGTTGACACGCTTCTCGACTGTAAGCACATGAACCTGTCAATCAGTAGATAGCTAGTGTGAATTATCAGGTGTCAGTATTCGCAATGCGTGATCCCAAACTAGCTACAGGCACAGGATGATCTAAGAAACCCCAAAAGGATTCAAAAAATCTGTCCAGACAATATGCTAGCTATAGCTAGCCCTAAAAGAAATCCAAAATGCTTTTCCAGCGAGATATATGATGCAAAAGGTTGGATTGGATGCATGCAATAATGTAACATTTGGACATGATTAAAGTGCTACAACAATCAGACAAGTGGTCTGCCCAGATACACCTTTAGCAGCACTGAGGTGTTTCCTCACCTTCTCCCTTTACAATATTAACTAATGTGTTTTTTTCTTCATTCGAAATGAGACCCAACTCTGCATTATTTGAGAATACTTGTTCAACGAGTGAAAAAAAGGATGCAACGACATTGTCGAAGTGCAAAAGGTAAGCGTTACAGTGACAGACTGAACTCTACTGTACTATACACTACTACTACTCTGTCAACGTTACAAGGCCATGTTCACTTATCTTATAATCCGTATTTTTCAGTTTATTTTTTTCGCCAAAACAATGATTTTTCTCTCATAACAAATCAATCAACAGTACTTTCAGCCATACCTTATCAGCAAACTAACGGGCCACAATATCAAAGAATGCTCTAGTAAACAGACTGATGAATAATTTAATTCTATTTAGCACAAGCGCATCGAATTAGGTGGATGGCACGTGGGACCGTTCTCCCACCTGGCCGAGGATACGATACGAGTCCCAGATTTGGAGGGAGAGGGAAAGGGCAAAAAAAAAATGGTGGGATATGTATGAACAGTAGTAGTGATGACTGATTACCATCCGTGGGTTGTGGAAGCCAACTTGGCCGACATCCATAGATGGGGACTTCTTGAGATTAGACCAGGGCGTGTAGATCACCTCAACGTTGTTCATCTTGTTCCCTGCACAACAAGCACATGCAGAGAGAGCCGCGTCCAATTCAATTGCCGACACGTTTTCATGATCACGAATAATCACCATCGGCCAAATCAATATACGCGCCAAGATAATTGAGTGGTCCCGTCCCGTGTGCAGCTCGCGCCAATAATACACGAGAGAGAAAGAAAAGGCCCTCTCCTCAGTCCTCTCGCTGCAGGAAAAAGAGAGGGGGAGAGATCGACCGGTCGATGGGGGAAAAACTAGAAAAGATTCCCGCCGCCGCAACATGCAATGTGGAGCTGAGGCAAGGGAGTACCCGACAGGTCACACCGTATTCTATTTCGATTCTCCCACGGGGAGAGCATAACTGGAGATGCAGATACTCAGGCTGTCTCCACGAGACCCGTGAGTAGACCTAAATCTAAAATAAGTCTTCAACAGAATATATATAGCATTTAACAAAATACATATGTGAAAGACCTATTTTGAGTGTGATATAGCTTAAATCTAAATATCATCTCTTCTGAAGACCTATTTACAAAAATGATTCTCTTTTAGGCCTTATCGTTGGAGAAGATAAAAATGAGTATTGAAACATTTAACTGTAGCACTACCTAAATGTAGAATGAGTCTTATATTTTGGGTTGCCATCGTTGAAGACAGTCCTCACGTAACTGCTACTTGGTGGCGGCTAAATGGTCTTTACTAGGGAACCTAGCTACGCCCATGAATCTTCGAGCTTCTCTCTGGTACTCTTTTTCTTTTGCTCTTTTTTCTTGAATTTGCATGATTTATAGTACTATCAGAAACTGTGAAGCCATGAATTATTTCGTGCCATCATTATGCTAGGTCGTCATATGAAAAACCACTGGCGGCATCTAAGTTTTGTATCCTTCAAAAGTGAGTGTTGCTCTACGTCTACTAGCAGTTAGCCAAGGGGGGAAAACTACACTGCTAAAATTGGCACGTACCTTGAATGGAATGAGCCTTTACGAGCTGTGCGCAGTCCTCCAATAAGCCCTCGCTGATGGTATCTATGGTCTCGCCTTTCTTTAGCCTCAAATAGACGTGTGCCGAGGATACCTTGTCCACATGGAACCTGCAGGCGCACCCAACATAGTATATTTTAGTGAGCTATTTTAGTAACTCGTTAACCCGTAAGTATATATGCTTTTGTTTGGTTAATTAGCCGAGCTATAGCAAGTATATACTATAATTCTTTTCATCTCGATTAACGTTGCCAAATACTAAAGCGCTCCAAAAACATGATATAATACATCTCCAAGCTTGCTATATATACATCTCCAGGTTTGGTCGTATCTATTGCATTGGTAGGCCGGTAGTTGGGGCGTTGGGGATGGGATGTCCACGCCAGCCTCGTCAAGGCCCAGTCACGCGTCAATCTATCCGCTCCTCGCCGCTCTCCCTCCCAGTACTGAGGAAGTGAGGAGAGCCTAGCTATTTCACCGCCGCGACACCACGTCCACGTGCTTGCCGTCACCGGCGCCGGCCTGCCCTCGCCCTCGCCTGTGGTCTCCATCTGGCTGCTTCCGCTCTGCATGCGCTAGCTGTAGCACAATGCTGCCTCTACGTATCGAAAGGGCGAGCGAGACGCGCGCGCGCAGAACACGCGTCGCGGTCGGAACCACCATTGGATCGCTATGACTAGCTAGAGCGTCGTCGCGAAGAAATCAGAGGCCGGGACCGGCTCCGCCGGGATGGAAGAACGAGCTAGCTAGCGACGTACCAGACGTCCTCGGGGAGGCCGTACTTGATGAGCTCCTCGTTCTCGTTCTTGTCGGCGCCCATGTAGATGGTGTAGTCGCCGGCGTCCGGACGCGCCTTGAAGTAGACCACCATCGTCGCTCAAACAACTCTATCTACCCTCTTCTTCTTCTTCTTCTTCTTCTTCAGACCGGCCTCTTTATCTCTAGCTAGCTTCTACCAGCCTACCGGCTACCGTCTCTGGACTCCACCGGCGGCTGCTGTATATACTACGTCTACGTGTATATTCAGGTGTAGCTCTGTCGCCGCGGCAAATAAAGGCTAAAGGAGCAAGCAATCAAGAAACTGCAAGAGGGAAGGGAAGCAAAGAGGAGGTTGGGTAGCAGCACTACAGCAGGCAGGGAAGGGTGCGGGGGGGCCTGTGCGGCAACGAAACAGGCGAGGGGCAGACAGGGGCGGGTATATAACGGCGTCGGGGCGGCGGCCGGACCGGGTCTCGCGGCGAAAACGCCGAGCTAGCCTCGCAAGGGGCCACGGCCGAGGAGTCGTCTTGGCGGTCTTCTCACGATGGGGGGTTGGGCCTCCACGTGGAAACACGATGGATCCGATTAAAAAATTGCGGCGTGGCCCCCACTTGGGGGGCCTTATCCCTTCGCCACTTTTGCTCTCGTTGCTCTCCCCGGCCCCCCCACTCTCGCTTTCGTTAATGTTAATCCCTCTTAATTATTATTTATCTCTCTTCGGCGGCACCAGCACCAGCTCCCCAGCCTGTGAAAGGCAGAGAACCCCTGGTAATCTCGCCTGACCTGGGCCTGACATGGCAAAGCGGTTGGGGATATACTACCCGAGTTTTTTTTTTTTGACAACAATAGTACCCGAGTTGACCTGCATAGCTTCCGTGTAACGGAAGCAATTGGTGGCGCCGTCAAAGCGCCGGATCTTTTGCGACAACGACGCCCGCTCCTGGGGGAATTTTTTATTATTTTTAACACTTTTTTAAACTAATTTTAAATCTAACATTGTTTTTTTCTTCAAAACTAACACTTTTGACCGCGCCTATTGCCATGGCGCGGTGGTGGCGCGGCGGGAGGCTGACTTGGCGACGACCGGGACGCTGACCGGTGACGTGGCAGGGTCTGCCGCACCACCGATCTTGGCGCGGCAGTGACGTGCCATAGCCCACGACGCGACAGGACCAGATAAATAACGCCCGCGAGCCGCCCTCCCTCCCGCCTACCCGTGAGCCACCCGCCCTCCCTGCACGCCGCCCACCTCGCCTGCCGCCGCCGCGCTTGCACGCCGACCGCCGCGTCTGCCGCGACACGGACGCCCTCACTGTAGTTGAACTCTCGTTGACGTGAAATTTGGTGCCTATTTCTTCATAATCAAAACCCTCGTACCTTCACAACTCCTTTATATTAATCGTTAGCCATTAAATTGAGAGATTCTTTTAAAATATATTTTAGCCGTTAATTTATCTTATATTGTATTATTATTTATATACTTAAATTGTTAATTTTCTTATAATGTATTATTAATTATAGCGAAAACAAATGTCTAATTAAAAAACACGTGGAATATAAATGTATTTATGTGTTTTTTGTGCACTACATATATATATATATATATATATATATATATATATATATATATATATATATATATATATACATATATATATATATATAGCGACAAATTTGGTTGGTTGAGTTTTTATGATTTAAATTGTTATATGCTTGTTTTCTTACATGAAAATATTAATCCAAATGATCATTTTACTCAAGCATATATTAAAAGCACTATAATCTCCAAAATCATGCACAACATCGTCGATATCATACTGCTATGAGTCCATCATAGCATTGTGCGAAAAAAGTAGACATCTTGTTTACCGGTAAGTACTTTGGTTCACTATATTCTTCGAGGCAGTTACATATGATGAAATTATTAATGGTTAATTGATTATCGTGTTCAATGCAGCAATGAAACGAGCAGGATACACTCCCTACAGCTCTGTATATCTGGACAGAAGCAGAGTTAGTTAGAGGGAATACGAGGCGCAAGTATAGCGAGTACACGGACGGTCTCGACATCCTGACATAGCACCAGGTTACGCTATCTTTACTATCATACATGTGTCTTGTTCGATGTACCCTATATCACAACCTAACTCAATTACGAAATGTTCAGGTGTATTGGTGTCATTGGGATGCTCCGGAGCTCGAGTACTATCTGAGTCCTGTCACTAAGGATGAGTCAGACGAGTATCGCTACAACGTCCCTCTTATTTTCTTCCACGTGGTCGAGATTCACTTGCCCATCAGGGTCTGCAGACAGTTTGGAAGAATGACAGGCTATCCACCACCGCTTTACTCCACCAACCAAGAATTGCACGGGTGTATTATCGATTAATAACAAAGCTACAATTCAGAGATGTGTGTAGTACAACTAACATCATTTTGTTGCAGGTATGACCGTAGGAAGAGGTACAAGACCAAGGATTGGCGCGTGACACACAACGCGTACATCCACTTGTGGCAGAACAGGGAACGGCAGCCGGTCCATGCGGGTTCCCCACACGACCAGCACACCTTCAACGAGTACCTGCGGTGGCTTCACAGGTCTACGAGGACACATATCAAGTCCCCGTACACTGAGGATGCGATTGACGAGGACTCGGAGGAAGATGTGATCGAAGATGTGTACAGCGTTGCCACTAGGGAGGACACACAACTACAGAGAGCCCTGCTTCAAAGATACGTGGTAAGATACTCGAATGTTATAATTTGTTATCCATTTGGTATTAAGTATGTATATTAAAACTGTTCAACCGCGTTTCTATACCCAGGCGACACAATTGTCAAGGATGTCCAACAAAGTAGCGTTTCGGCTTCACGAGTCTAGAGGGCAGGGGCCAGGTGTTCTCGAGACTTTTGTGGAGGTAAACATAAACTTGTCCGTTGCGAAAATGTATCTTTAGTGTATATGCGTTTGGAAAATACACTAACTTTAACGTCTATTTATGCAGAAGGTGAAGCGCAGCTGCAGGAAGCTAGCTCAGAAGCTGAGCTGCATGGACACTCCTTGGGTGGAACCAGCGTCCCGGCGTGGTCGGATGGCACGTCTTCTGGCTCTTTGAGGACACCAGCCGGCTCTTCTCAGCCGGTGACAGGTGCCGTTTCCGCAGTGCGTACACCACCATATCATAGCTCCGGGAAGGATCCTACAACTGAGGACGATGATGACGACAACGACCTCCCGGGCTTCCGCAGACAGCACCACCCATTGGGACGATTGGCCGCAGAACGAGATCGGCATGTCTCAGCTAGGTGGTACCCCCGCTTGGTACCCAAGAAACCTCACAGGTAGTAATAAAGGTAGTTTCTTTAAATACATAGGCTCCATGAACTAATGATCATAAAGATTATAAGTAATCGTGCATATCATATACTTGCAGGGTACGAGCCGTACGCACCGGCAACGCGACCACACCGACGTTGGCTACACTTCCAATGTGTTGCCAACAAATTCGAAGAGACAGAGGCGTTCGAGGGATCCTTACACTCCTGAGTCTTAGTTTGTTAGGTCGAACGAATATTGTCGTCTGAAACTTGCAGGCTTAGTTGGTTATGTTATGTCGAATTTATGTCGAACCAATGAAAATGTTATATGACACCTTGTCAACTTGCGCACAGACTTCATTTATTTGTTTTATATTCGTTTCATTGTGTCGCGACAGCACTGCCGGCGAGATTAACTAGCAACTAGTTCGGGAACTGGCAGTCCCGACGTATCTCGCCGTCGGTGGCCGACGTCTTGACCCCGATCCTCCCGAGCTTGGTCATCGCCGTCACGAAATCGCCGAAGAAGGCACCCTGATTGGACGCGCAGTAGTCAACCGTGCTGCGCGACCTCATGTCGGACTAGCCTAAAGCACCTGCTCGGAGCCCACCGGCGAGGGGTCGAGGAAGGCAAAGGCGTTGGGGTTGGAGCTGCAGGTGCCGTTCAGCTACGACGCGAAGCCGAGGTCCATGGTCGCGTCGCTGCTGATCCTCACCGACAGCAACCGATCTTCTGTCTGCGTCCAGGTCCTGCCGCGCCGTAGTACTTGGCGCGGCAGACCCTGCCACGTCACCGGTCAGCAGCCCCGGTCGTCGCCACGTCAGCCTCCCGCCGCGCCACCATTTATGGCGCGGCACAGGCGTTTCGTCGCGCCATGGCAATAGACGTGGTCAAAAGTGTTAGTTTAAAGAAGAAAAAACAGTGTTAGATTTAAAATTAGTTTAAAAAAATGTTAAAAATAAAAAAAATCTCCCGGGGACCTCTTCTCCTCGCCAACGGGGGCGTGCAGCGTGCTCGCCTGCTTGCCCACACACAGGCCACAGGCCCACAGCTCTCATCGGGCCGTCGGGTCCGTTCATAGTGATTTCATAATTACCGTGCAGTTTGCCATGGTACAACGAGCACAGCGGGCCGGGGTCGGGGTGGAGTGACCACTGCCGTCCGTGCCCGGCGATCTCCGTGCCGTGCGCCTGCCATGCCGGGTGCCGGGTGCCGGGTGCGAGCCTGCAAAGTGGAAGCAACGCTCAGGCGTGAAGTGACCACTGACCGGAGTTTATTCGATGGCCACGTACGACCACGAGCCGGCGCCCGGCGGGGGATGCATGGTTCCGCCGTCTTCTGCGGCCGACAGACGCTGGCGAAAAGCGAGGGGCCCCGACGCGCGGACCCATGCGAACAGCCCCGGCCACGAGAAGCCGGATGGGGTTGTGGCCTGTGGGGGGATCATCTCATCGATCCGACTCACCACGGCAGGAGGGCAGCGTTCCAGCGCCACGAAACGTGGGGAGACGGAGACGCGGGGCGCGGCGCCGGGTCGGCCGCTATCGTCCCGTCCGACGCAGCAGCGCCTACGAGCGGCTGATGATGCCCGCCTAGGCGAACGCGATTCGCTCTATCCATCCGTTCGCGTCAGCCTTTCGGCACTTGCATGATGCATCGCAGTATTTTTGGATCGGCGATCCAAAGGTACACCGGCCTGAAGGACGATAGAATCGGAGGCGAAAGGAACAAGCAAATGACAGCCTATCAGATTATATGGTACGAACAGTGGCCAAATTGGTCGTAAAATAAGAGTGGCCGAATTTTTTTTTTCAAAATTCAAAGGAAAAGAAGGAAAAGGGTCGATCGCACGGATCGCATCACCGATCAGGCGATCACCCAGTTAGACGAGAAGATTATCGGTAAAGAAACCCACGTGAAACTCGAAGCAAGAAATGCTAGGAAATTTTGGATAAAAGGGAGCTCACATAATGCTTATCCATTATTAAAGGATTCATTGGTTGGTGTTCTGCTTGGTCGCGGCATTCAAGTGGGAATGAATGATCGGCTGTTCTATTAAATTTTAAACTCTATTTTCCTCTTACCATTGCCAAAAAACACCTGCCAGTTTCCTTGGGAATGACCGTGGCATATGCCTTGCCATTGCATCCAAATCCGTTTCAGGGCTTGTTTGAAATGGAGGAGGAGAAAACAGGGGGAAACAATGATCAAGGGTATGGATGTAATAGGAAAATAGGGGATTGGAAAAACACAAGAAATACGTAAAAAGGTGGTGTTTGTGAAACATAGGCCCCATTCGCTTCGCTGAAAAAACAAGCCGAAACATTCTTCCGGCTGATTTGTTGTGAGAGAAAAATATTGTTCCGGCTAAAAAAACAAGCCGAAAAAGATGAATTATAACACAAGCGAACATGACCTAACAAACGGAAAAAAACACAAAACAGGAGTATGGATGCAATAGAAAAATAGAGGATTGAAAAAACACAATAAATACTATGAAATGGTGTTTGGAACATAGGAGTCATAAGATAGGAATAATTAAAAATAAGAATGATAAATGATCATTTAACACCATGATTTTACTATCGACTAGCATATATAATGGTGATCATAAATGTGTAGTATCTCGCACTGGTTCATGAACCTAGTCCAAATGAAATACAGAAACATGGCATTATACAGGAACAGAGGAATGCATGTTTAATGGTTGATGTGACCTCTAAAGATCATTGCCCAAGAATAGCCTGACGATCTTTGGGGTCCGGCTACTGCCTACCACCACATCGACAGTGTCAGGCACGTATACCTTCATGACAAGGGTTTCAAGGTCATTGTGACATTCTTTAGTAATTGCAAACAAACAAGGTGGTGTGCACAGAAACCGAAACATAAACTGAAGGCTTCGGTAGTACTGCAACCAACTAGGCACTGGCTGAAGTTCTAGTCATGGGAGAAATTTCTAAACGATTTTATAGAGTTAACATCATAAACTAAAACACAAGAATCAGCTCCACGATAGAGGGCAACACTAGGACTCTGAAACCTTTCCTGTCTAGCAGTATCCCATATCTGCATATATAGAATGTAGAATGTCATAAGCGGCAATCAGAACTAACCATAACCCTGAAATGCACAAATGCAAAGGGGAAATTTGAATGCTTGGGAATCGGTAAAAGCAGAACAGTGGCAAAATAATTTTCTCGGTCAAAACTTGTCCAGACATCCACTGATAACAGAAATTCGGCTTCTCATGAATGTATATGGCTGCAGTTCACTAGTGTTAAATGATCTAAATAGCAGAAATTCGGCTTCTCATGAATGTGTATGGCTGCAGTTCAGTAGTGTCTGCTATCTAGCATTTAATTATCCCTTGATGACAAAACTTCTATACTAAATTTTAGCAAAAACAAATCAGAAAACATAAGAATCCAACAATACTGTAATCTTGAAGTTAAAACTTACTCCTGAATCACGCATCTTAAACAAATCGCACCTAGAAATTCAATATACAAATTTAGTGTGCCTTACACAAATAACTTGTTCCAAGCATCCATGAGCAAAAGGAGGTCCGTGATTAGTTGTTCTCACAAGGAAGCGTGACTAGTCTCCAGCTAAGGCCAACAATTGATGGAGTCAAGTGTACTACCTAAAGAGTGAAGAGCCTGTCCTCGAATAGCACCTCCTTGGTGAGGAAATTAGCACCGGTTTGGCCTTGTTCTGGTTGCTAAACTTCTTATTCACATATCTAAATTAGATCATTGCTCAAGAAAACACATGCAAAATCTTACGTGAAAACAAAAAGGAAAATCGTATTTCATGATTGTGGCAAGAAATCCGAAGGAATTGGTTTGCAAATCGAATTGCAAGATGCTAATTCATCAGCGAAGTTTTCCTGGCCCTAAATCGAATTGCAATATACTTACTAGGTAAGAATCAAACTAACTTAAGTTTGACTAAGTTTATGAAAAATAGTATCAATATTTAAACTCCAAATAGGTATGTTTTTAAAATATATTTCATGATAAAAGGTTTGTTACAGTGCTACTTGTGGAATTTTTTCGTTAATCAAAAGTAATTAGGGGTAATTTGGTCATTCCAGTGTACTCTAAGTTTATCCGAAGGGCTCTCCGCCACCTGAAGCCGCAGGGGGCTCACCGATGCCGGCGCCCGCCTGTTCGGGCATCACCCCCACCTATCTGGAGGAGCTCGCCACCGACCGTTTGTACGGGCCACCACCTAGGATCACCGCCAGCCACCTTCACGAGCTGTGCACGAACCATCTGCTGGGCCCTGGCAGTCTGCAGGTCATCCGCTTGACCGGTAGGGGCTCGGTAGCCTGCCTCCTCCCGTCGCCAATCTGTTGCTGCCTGCGATCTGTCACCTGCCTGCACTTGTCTGGCCTAGTTCCAGATAAGTGCAATAACGTGTTTTTGATTTTTTTCTTTGCTTGTAACAAATTCAAAACTTAACTTTTAATTACCGGGGAGCGCCAATAACGTGCATATACAATTTACGGGCGATTTGCAAAAATGGACTCGAAACATGAGATTTGTTACAACTTATAAACCTCCACTCACCCGGTCTAAAAATTGCATGAATCCGAAACCACAGAGTACTACCAAAAAGAGAGAGAGAAGCAAAATTCAGTACCACAGCCTTGACTCGCGCATGTACACGAACGCGAAACAACGAATTCACGATCCACTCTAGCCTGACAAGGCGCCAAAAAAAAAATGCCGGGTGTCAGTGTGTTACGGCTGGGCGCGTCTGCCGGTGGTGCGCCGGCTCATCCTCTCGGTGTCGCCGGCCGCGCGCCTGCCGTGCCACTGCTGCCCCTGCGCGCCCGCGGCCACCTCGCCCGTGTCGCCCGCGCTGCTGGTCGTGTACTCACTGGATGGGTTCAGCCCGTACTCGCTGGTGGGATCGCTGAACTCGCTGCTCGCGTACTCCGTGATGGTCCCGGTCCCGGTGCTCCCTCCCGCGCCCGGCCCGAACGCCATCCGCCTGAGCCGGTTGATCTGGTCCATCGTGCCGCCGCCCGACCGCTGCATCGCGCTCTGCCCCGGCATCACACCGGCGTTCAGGTCCTCCACCGACAGCTCGCCCTCCAGGTACCGGACGATCTGATCATTTGGGAGCGGGAAACGAGTGTTAAGGCTTGCAGCCACGGCTGCATCCAGTGTGAGACGCTCTGGAGCAGGAGTCTTATTACCTGGCTCATCCGCGGGCGAGACCGCGCGGTCTTGCGCACGGCGGCCGCGGCGCATGCGACCAGCCGCGCCATGTCGTACGCGTCGTAGTTGCTCTCCAGCCTCGGATCGATCAGCTCATCATAGTTTTCCTCCTCGACAGCCCTTGTCAGCAATGGCCTAGCCTGTTTGAACAGAAATGGAAGAGATGCTTCATCACTCGTTGCCGTTGCATATGGAATGGGGAATCAACGCGATGCTATTATAAGCAGTACCGATATTTAGTGCACAGTCATAACTCATAACTGAGTGGTGGTAACTAATTTAGGCAAGCAACTTCTGGAGTAGGACTTGAAGGACACCGTAATATGAATCACAGAATGTTACAACAACATAGCATTGGGTCCAAGAAGAGCCACTCACCCAAGAGACCAATGTCTCAGGCTGATACTCTGAAGATGTCATGATTGGCTTCCTCCCAGTGATCAGTTCCAGAAGCATCACGCCGAAGGAGAAGACGTCGGACCGGTCGTTAACTTTGCCTGTGGCAGCGTACTCTGGCGCCAGATATCTGAAAACAAAAGGAAAAGACAGCACAAATTCAGTCTCATGTCACTAAATGCACCGGTTCATGTGTCAGCAGGTTATGATATATGTGGGCACATTGCTGGGTGTGCCAACATCACAGAACGATTTACCCGAAAGTTCCCATTACGCGTGTAGAAACAGCGGTGACTTCAGCTGCTTGGTATTTGGCCAACCCAAAATCTGCAACCTGTACCAAAAAAAAGTGCACCTTTCAGTTAAACATGCAGGCAGGCAAGCTAAAAGATTTTCGGCTGTTAAGGTCTACCTTTGGCTCGTAGTTGTAATCCAGAAGGATGTTCGCAGCCTTGATGTCACGATGGATGATCTTAGGATGACCTGACAGCAAACAAAAAATCAGCCCATTTTGTCAGGGACAGAAGCTTCAAATATTTCGCGGAGAAAAACAGAGGGCAAGAGCCAAGAACTCACAGTCTTCGTGCAGATAGGCGAGGCCCTTCGCCGAGCCGACCGCGATCTTCCACCGCCTCGGCCAGTCCAATGTCGGCCTGCCACTCCCTGAGATCAGGCTCCAATGTCAGTCAGACCCAGTCGCAGCCAAAAAGTTTCGATACAGCCATCGGTCGCACGGCATTCAGGAGATGGGGTTGCATTTGGCAAGAGCGTCCGTACCGTGGAGCTGGAACTCGAGGGTCTTGTTGGGCACGTACTCGTAGACGAGCAGCCGCTGTTCGCCGTAGAGGCAGTAGCCGACGAGGGAGACGAGGTTCTTGTGGTGCACGCGGCTGATGATCTCCACCTCGGCGCGGAACTCGCGGTCGCCCTGCCCGCTGCCTGCCCGCAGCTTCTTGATGGCCACCTCCTGCCCGCCCACCGTGCCGCGGTACACGTGCCCGAACCCGCCCTGCCCGAGCAGGTTCGCGTCCGAGAACCCGTCCGTCGCCGCCGCCAGGTCGTCGTACGCGAACGTGCCGCCCGTGATGGCCGGCGAAGGGTTCAGCGGCGGCATCGGGGACTCGGACGGGCCGTGGCTGCTCTGCCACGAGTGCATCAGCGGCGGCGTCGAGGATGGCGTCGTCGACGGCGCGTGCGACATGTACGGCGGCGTCACCGGACGCCGCGGGTCGTAGAACTCGCCTGGTGTGCCAGGGACAAGAAAGAGCAGAACGATCGGTCAGTCCAGCAGCGTCTAGAGAGCAAAAGTGGCGCGAACGCGCACCATCTCAGCTAAGTGCGTGCAAACAGCTTGCCATCCATGGGAGTCGCGAAGCACGCCGCATGAGCGAGCGCGATGCCACCTCGCGTCGATGTGACCGTCGCCCGCGATACGCGGAGGGAATTATGGCCCGTGGAATTGCGCTTTGTCACCACGGTCACCACGCTAATGCTGGGATGGGGCCCGCGTTCGGCGTACGAACTCCCGAGTCGCGACGCGTACTGTCGCATCAACGTGGCCACGACGGAACAATACTCTTGTTGATCGCACGCATGCCAAGGAACAAAGGCCACCGCGTTGTATCTGTACATAGAGCTGGGAGTTGGGGTCGTGCTATTTGAGGGCGGGTCATAGGGTCTTTTGACATGATCCGAAACACACGGTACGAAATATTTTAGGCCGTGCTAACACAACACGAACACGAGGGCTGTGTCGTGCTTAGAATCTCGGCACGACATGCTACATGACCCGGCCCGCATTTTGGGCTGTGCTTGGGCTAGCATAGCAAAAAAAATGACACGTAGATATTTCTACAACTATACCATGTAATTTTTTAGTATTTACTATACTATCTCTTATCTAATTTTTGAGTAGATTATGAAAATCATTAAACTGTCATTAAAACAATACATATAAGATATATATGTTTCATACCATGAGAGGAAAAAGAAAACTAGTAAAAATATTTTAAGAGACGTGCTTAGACCGGCACGACCGAACACGTGCCGACGTGCCACGGGCGTGGATCCAAGAAAAAAAATTACCGTGCCGTATGGACACGGCCCGACGGGTCTCCGGTGCCTTTCTAGGCAAGACCCGAAGCGGCACGGAGCCACCTCTATCTGTACATACGCGTGTACGTACCTGGGAACCCCTGAGACGGCGGCGGTCGCCGCCGGCGTTTCCTTCCTATGAAGCAGTAGATGAGCCCGACGGCGAGGCCGAGCAGGACCACCGCCGCGACGGCGACGCCTATGCCCACAGCGGTGCCGTTGCTTGACGACTTGGAGGGCGATGGCGACGTTGGTGGTGTTCCTGTCGACGGGGCCGGCGGCGGAGGTGGAGGCAATGACAGATGTGACGGCGGAGGCGCGGGTGACGCCGGGACACCACTGGGAGGAGGCGGGCCGCGTACGGGCGGAGGAGGTGATGGCGTTGGCGCGGTCGCCGGTGGTGGAGGAGATGCCGGTGGAGGTGAAGATGGTGTTGGTACGCTCGCTGGTGGAGGTGGGGACGGCGTCACCGGCGGTGGGGGCGACGGAGACGGAGGAGGAGGGGACGGCGTTGGCGTGGGCGGCACCGGCGCGGGAGTTGGTGGTATCGGCGATGGCGTGGGCGGCACCGGCGCGGGAGTCGGCGGTATCGGCGATGGCGTGGGTGGGACCGGCGCCGGAGCCGGCGGCGATGGCGTGGGCGTCACCGGAGCCGGTGGTGAAGGAGATGGCGTAGCCGGCGACGTTGGCGCTGGAGACGACATGGCGCCGCCCCGCTCGCTTGCAGTGGTGCGGCGCGCTTGTGCAACGTTTTAGTCGCCCGCCCTGTTACCGGTGGACTACGCCCAAAGCAACACCAGCGAATAAGCGAAGACCGGGGCGCGAACGCGATATCTATGTGCTCGACCTGACCTGGACGCGTTGAGCCAGTTAGAGCTTCCAAAAGAATTGGTAAATCAAGTGGTAAAAAAAAGTTGGAACCATATTGGTTTTGCTTCTCAAACAGTTTCTAAAATCTCGATTAAAAAATATAGAAGACAATTTCTTAAGAATCCTGAATTATTTGCAAATCACCGTAAGTCCCGAACCACTTTTATACTTTCTTTTTCTCTTATATATTTGCATCGGAAAAGATTCCGATGGATATGCATGTATATTTCTGTGCTATCAGGTCGGATTTTTTCAAATGTGGAAAGATTGAAAGTTGTTGGAGAACAGTTTTTTTCAATCTTGCAAAAAAAATAAAGATTGAGACGTCCTAGATTAATTAATTGATCTAGCAAGTTAATAGAAGAAATAGTAACATTAAATCCCAACAGTCCCTTATAATAGCTTTTTAAACGATTTTGCATTGAGAACCCCGAGCTGTTTCTAACCAACTAAATCTTTTTAAGTAGTTTCTTTGTCTCTTGTCGTTTTCTCATCTAGAGGCCTTTATTTTTTTAATTTATTGATTCGTCCAAATTAATCCGATCTTCCGAGAAAAACAAAGAAATGAGAGCAAAGTCCCTCTCAACTAAGAAAACTTACGAGTTGGAGAGGATATTTAGCAATTTTTTTTAAGTGCTATTTTACCAAACTGCTGGAGGGTATCTTTTTTTCTTTTTTTTGCTAAAAATTCAAAAAAGGTTTTATTTTACAAAACTCATGGAGACGCGCTTAGCCGTGGGGTGTTTTTTCTGCTTGCATTGGCCGTGCACAATTCTTACCTTCGCTTGCCGAAGCGACAGCAGCAGCAGCGCACGCGTGCGCCGCGACGCGCGCTTAATACGAACGGGTCTTTTCTTCGCTTAATACGAACGGGTCTTTTCTTCACTTTTTTTTATTTGGGGTTTGTATAAGATTGACCGCGCATAAGTCAGTCAGGGCTTGATGCTCCATTTGCTCCATAGAATAGGTCCTGTTTTGTTTAGTGTTTCCATTGGAAGAGCCCTAAACTGCTAATCATAGCTAAAACGTGTTTGGCAAGAGCTTTCGACGGCAGGTAGCCAGCGCTAGGTACATGGCAACCGAAGTTGGCGAGTGTATAAGACAAGAACGGCATGTACGGAAGGAAAACAGCACGGCAAGCGGCAGCTGCAACCTGCAACCTCACCAACTTCGGTTGCCATGGCGCGACGACACGGCCTGACCCGAGTACCCGTACCCGACGGCTAGCTCGTTGCGTTGCGTGTGGTGGTAGGAGGTAGCAAACACATGAAGGAAGAACCTACGGCTGCGGTCAGCCAGAACTAGGACGTGCCCTACTGCCTGCCCTAACCGCGTTGGATCTTTCTTCCGCTCGGAAGGTCGCCAACGTCTCATTCTCAATCCGAACGGTGAGTTTTCTTCTCCGGTAGCTTGCCGACATGTGCTTTGGATTAGTAGTTGCACGCAATGCTTTGTCTGCTGTGTGAACCCGAACGTTGTATACATCTGTATGCAACTTGCATAGATGTCGTTGTCATCAACCGTTCGATCATGAGGCGATTCGACAGGGATGTTTATGTGCTGACCTCACAACAGAGTCACCTTCGATCCATTTGCTATTGCCAGGTTGGATGCATCGATCGCGCACGATTGGAGACGCCAAGTTAAAAAAAAAAATAGAGACGCCAAGGAAATAAGCAACCAGCAGGCAGCAGGCAGCACCCCGCAACGTCCAGTACGAATACATGATGATGGACCATCAAACATTCCGTTGACCGACCCCATCCGTTGGCCGCACAGGTCCACCAGCGATGTACCAGATGGACCTGCAAGTCCCGTGTCTGCATAATTTCATGTGCCAGAGGCAACATGGTTCTAGGCTCGGATGACATTTTCTGTGACTTGTTCCCTTGGCGACCAAATCACGGGTTTTTTTTTCTTTTCCGGAAATGAACTCACAACAAAACTGGCTATTGTACAAACAAGTTGGGATCTGGGAATAGGATAACGAGGCACTAGTACAGTAGTACTGAATATGATGCAGATATTTCATATTATTCCTCAATACTATTGAAAATTCTGGACGACCAAATAACAAAATCCAATAAAAATCAAAGGTCGTAAAAGCTGTTTTGATAGGATTCCTCTTTATCACCCCACTTGCACTACCATCTACCAGGTCGTCGGCTGTAGCTTGAACCTCCCACCACGTGACATAAAAGAACAATTGAACAAAAACACACGTATGGCAGCCTGGCAGGCGTGAGGTGCAAAACAGAGTAAAGTTTGAGAACGGAGAGGCGGTGAACGGTAATGTTTCAAGAAGAGGCTGCATATCAGCAAAGCTAAGTTCAATAGATGTTCCAGCAAAACAGCTCCATATCGATCAAGCTCAATTTTGAATTTCCTAGCATCAGTTCTACAGCCAAGCTAACTGCCATGTTGAATCAGGCCTCAGCGCTGTCAGATTCTTTTCAGAATTGACTCGTTCAATTCAAACCCCTTTTAATGTAATCAAAGCAATTTTGATCCAATCCATGTGCCTATTAGACAAGCTGAAGAGGAAGGGTTGGAGTAGTTGGGACTGAAGATGATGTTTGCACCATGAGGTGAAGGTGAAGGTGATGGTGATGGAGGTGGAAGTGAGCCAGGTAAGGTGAAGGGCCTGCTTGCTTTGTGGTCTGGCAAAGTTGCCTGGCGCAGGAGCTTCTCCCAGGCGTCCTGGGATCAGGATCTCTGCCTGGCGTGAGCTCTGCCTGGGAGGGTTCAAAGCAAACAGGCCCGAAGACATGTCTGTCGAATCCTTCCTTCTTGATCCAAAGTTGTGGTTACAAATATTGGAGTCATCTCTGTCGAATCCTTCCTTCTTGTTTTTTTTTATCCTAAACATGTTTTTCTGGACCAGAAATAACATGAGTAACACGCAATAACATGAAAGTCTAACTGATCTTACACAGATTGTACTAGTCTGAGATCATGCTTTCTTCTTGATCCAAAATTGGCAATAATTTCATTATAACTGTCGATGAAAACTTAAGAAGCTGCCTAAATTGGCCAATTATAAACTAATACTAATAAACATAGCTTAGAAAAAAATAGAAACTGACACATGTGGTAGTTCTTAGTGCTGTGTTATGATGCTGATGAACAATTATCTGCTCAAAAGCACATGCAACTCTGTGCAGCAAATCAGATAAGTATTTTTGTTTCTTAAATTGGTTTCAGAAATCAATAACAAAATGGCAGGTGATGTAAGAAGCTACCTTAAGCAAGAGTAGTTAAATGATAGCTAATTATAAGTAATGAAAAAAAAAACCCTTCCAGATCCACACTTGAAAAAACTGGAATAATATGTTATGGTCCAAAATAGTCATCATTTAACTGGAAGGCCAAGTCGTAGTCACTAGGTTACTAGCACACTAGTAGCACTGGATGTGCTTTGGCACAAAAGCTTCACCAAAGTCAAGCTTGACGACAAACGCCAAAAGGTAATCCATGTACTCTGGTGGCAAGAAACGAAACAAGGTTATACCCAGTTTCAGCAAATCCAAGAAAACAAATGCAAGGGAAACCCATGTAATTAAGGAAAGTAATAGAAAATGGTCAGCCTGATCAGTTGTGATATTTTTTGCTGCGCCTGCAGCTGCTTGCAGTCATAACTACAGTACAGCTCAGTTTGTTTTTTTTGCAGCTGCAAACAGCTGCAGCGAGTGCACCCATATATTGATGAACAGTTCCATATATTGATGAACAGTTCCATATTAGACGGAAATAATGGTCAGAATGTGCTTAAAAACTACAAAACTCCAGCTTGTTGCTGGAAGTGACTAGGTTCAGATAATTTCTATGGATCAAGATCCAAATCGAAATCACCGTATCATAGCAAATCTATAGAGGTTAACAAACATACAGTATGTTTCCATTGGAAAGGGTCACAAAGGTACGTTGATAGGATACCAAAAACCATCCATATTACATATACCAGTTTCAATGAGTGACTGAGCTTTAAACAACTTATAAAGCCTAAACATATCTTTTAGGCTTTGTTTGGCATGGCTGACTCCTTGCCACAGTGCATGAAACCGGCGCTGATGAAGCAAAAAATAGTGGCTTCACCGGCTCCTAGTTCATTTTGATAAAAGAGATAAAAATGGCTTCTTGCTACAGTTCATGGATGAGCTAGCCAGAGGTCCACCAAACGGGGCCTAAACAACACTTCTACACTACTGATTCCAGATAGGTGTAAAGGAAAAAAAATCTCATTCGCAAAACAACTAATGAAAACACCCAAGAAATGTCATGCAGCATCGTTGCAGTGGCCAGAGTATGATTACAACGGTTGAGAAACAAGTGAGATGCTGCAAATAAGATGCCAGATCCAACTAGCTATAATACTGCGCGAACAAGTCTGAACGTATTTAATCACACACAAGTACATGACATGTCAAGAGTGCAAAGCAATGGGTTTGAAGCCAAAAATAAAGGGCATTGTAACTAATGAGCAAAAAAGAGATGAAAAAATTCAGATTTCAAGTACACTGCCTAGCAATTATATTGTACTCAAGATTTATCAATTTAGGTAAGGCTGTTGAGAACCTAAGTACCAAACCACAACGGTTTTGGGCAGCAAAGCACAATTGCAGACATGACATGCACAGCACCAATCTGCTCAAAACTATAAATCTTAGGTTCTATTGACTTCAAATAATTATCCTTTTCAACATATCTCCTGCTATCCAACTAATCTCAATTAATGGATGAAACCGCTGCCCCTTGAGAGACAAGTCACAAACCCTGTGAATCTGCTAACCCATTTTGGCAAACAAAGCTAGATCTTCATCTAGGTAATGATGAACTTAAGCATCAGCCAAAACTGCCAAGGCACTATCATGATCTAACTTGACACTGCTACCGAACATTTACAACATATTTAGTTTGAATATGAGGTTATCCTGCCACTATATTTGCAATATAACATCTAAGGAAGGCAAAACAAAGCAAACCGCACACTCCAATCCAGGAGTAAACTGAATAACTGAACTTCCACTCCATGAATATCCTATAACATCGCTCGCATAAAGTAATAAACAGTACATGACAACGCTGCTATTTTACCATAAAAAGTGACCAAATCAATTCAAACATGTCGAATTTCAGTAATTGAAGAGACGAGTCATTACACCTTATTCATTTGGATCCAACACAACAGTTCAGCATTCCAAAATGCTCCATCAGATTCAGACAAACAGTACCGGCACAAACCGAATGGAAACTCCCCTCCTCGCAACCCGGTCGAGGGATCGACGTCTCCTGCAGCCCGGGACGACGCTTACAGGAACTTCCTGTATGGCCGGCCGGCATCCTCGTCCTGCATATGCTGCATCCAACCCAGCAGGCACAAACAGAAAATCGATCTTAGGGTTTGGGCAAAGGAGAAAGGGACAGCGGAACGGCAATAAGGGCTATAGTGGATTACGAATTCGCGGACGATGCCCTTGTAGACGAGGATGGGGACAGCGAGGCCGAAGAGGCCGACGACGGCGAGGCTGCGGCGGGTCCAGCGGAAGTTGAACTCGAGGTTCTCGCGGCCGGCGTTCCACTCTTCGATCCACCGGTTTTTGTGCACCTCCATGCCGCCACCCATCTTCTCCTCCTTCCTTCGATCTGCCAAAGAGAAATGTGTGCTGGTTGCTGCCGAGACGGTGAGAGTGATTTGGTTCGGGGAATTTTGGGGGACACTGCTTCGTCCGGTTTAGAGGCCCCAGCGCCGCATCGCGTGTGGTGTGGTGAACCGTGAACCAAACCAATGTCTGCTTATTCGATGCCCGTTTCCCCTGCATGAAGACGGGTTTGGGCCTTTGGGGGAGCACCAACACTCCCTCCACACGATTTAGGGCCTGTTTGGCAGCGCTCTGGCTCTTCTAAAAATGGCTCCGACTCTGGCTCCCTTGAAGGAGTAGCTCCTCTGGAGGAGCTGAAGCCATTCTGGAAAACGTTTGGCAAAACGGCTCCTTCTGTTTTTGTAGAATGGATGGAAGAGGTGAATGTCCATATTGCCCTTGCTTTAACTTGGTTGTACATATGATCCTTGATGTCACTTTGTCAAACGACTGACCAAAATTAATAAAGATAACATGTAAAATAACGTTACCTACTAATAGTGTTCGTTAGACTACAATAACGTTTACAAAAGTATGAATGATATTGAAATATCATCAAACTACATAAACAATTTTGTTTTCATTGTTAGCAGATCCTCCTCTTTCTATGTTGCTAGCTCTTCACAGGGGCCTCGCCGCCGTGCCGCTCATGGCCTCGCCACCGCTGCCACGCGCTCGCATCGTCGTGGCCTCCATGTCTTTTTCACTCGCGGATGGACGAGGAGCCAGGAGAAGCTCGGTTTTGGGGCTCCATCCGCGCAGCACAAGAAATGCTCCGGCTCCCTTGCGGCTTCGGCATCGGAGCTGGTTTACTCATCGGTGTTTGGCAGGGCTTCAGCAGGAGCCAGAGCCGGAGCCGCTCGCGGAGCCCTGCCAAACGGCCCCTTAAATTCTATTGCACATTGATTTTACTATATCTAGATGTAGTAGATATATCTAAGTGTATAGTTAAAACTATGTACTTAAAAATATCCTAATGCCTTATAATTTATAATGGAGAGTAATAAATGCCCATCAAATAAATTAAGAGGGTTTTTTTCAAAAACATGTAAAAATACGCTCACAAGTACCTACCAAATTAACACGTGCATGTATATCATATCCTTATAGATGTTTATACAAGTGAACATCTCGAATCCTAACTTAGAGGAATGCATGCACATACTTGAATCTCATATTGACTGACTAGCAGAGTACACCAAATCAAGTACCTGCAATAAACAAATCAAGGTACATTCCACAAAAAAGATACACTTATGAGCTTGAACTATAAGTGTACCGAATCGAACAAACAACTACCAAATCGGATCAACAAGCTAGTCCTAGGGCACGTAATGGTGGCGGCGATGATGCAAGTGGGGCCACCAACACCTTGTTTTCGGTGGCATAGTTGACGGCAACCAGCCCTAAGGCACGTTACAACAACGGCTCCACTAGACATCATGAAGAGGTTATAAGAGAGACGAAGGAAACCAAAGAAACAAAGAAGTGGAGGACGGGAAGAGTCGAGGAAGCGCTCAGGGTAGTGGTTGGATATTTTCTCTCCTACCATCTATATAATGACACATGGACCAGGAACATGAATAGTAGTGTGGATGGGCCATAGAGATTTTACAAGGTGTGTAAAAGAGGTTTTGGGCCATGCCTAGGTCGTGGACCTAGTGGTCTTTAAGTGTATATTCGTTCTTGGTTCATACCTCGAAGTTGTTTTTATTACAGTTTAATATGTTTTAAAATCTATATAGTTGAGAGACTGAAATGTCATGTCTACTGATCTACATAGCTGAGAGAGGCTGATCTACATAGCTGAGAGAGGAGATTGAACTAAAGTTTGTGCAGCTAGCGGTGGCAATGGTCACAGAGCTTGGATTCGATTTCTAGCATAGCTCGTCGTCTCTCATTGAAACTTACTCTAAAATAGAAGTCTACCACCTTTCCCGCATGAAGTCACAAAAGAAAATATGATGCTCTCGTCGTCTATGGATTTACGATGGTTTCGATAATCTCTAAAATGATACAATCTTCTTCTCCGTGTGTAGTTATATGTTATATGACGTGGTTGTGTGGATGTGTGAGTAGATACTGCAACTGTACTAGACGAGAGGTTTAATAAAAAACCATAGTCGAGAGATAAGAGAGAGATTGATGCGGTGCGGCACACAAACCATGAGTACGAGGCGTGACAGCTCCATGCTTGCTGGCGTGACGGTATTGTGAGACCGTGTACAGTCCCCACCAGATCGAGCCGTGGTCTCGCTCTTTGCAATAGTTTCCAATCCAACAGGTGTTGTCTGCCCAGGTGCCCAGTCTCCCGTCTCCAGTCAATTCCCAGCCTCGGCCTCCGCGGCTCCGCCCCCGCCCCCGCCCCGCCCTCTCCTACGGCCTCCGCTTCCGCTCCCGCCCGGAGGCTGCATCAAACCCTACCACTCCAGGCCTCCCGACTGGCCGCGAGATGCGACGCCTGTCCGGCCCCTAATCCTCCTCCTCGCTGCTGCCCCTCGTCCGCCCGCCGGCATGGGCCGCTACGGGCCCTTCCCTGCCGCCGCCGGGGATGGCGGGGGCTGCCTGCCCCTGCCGATTGTAGCGGCTGAGGGCGCGCTGGCTGTCCTGGACGGTGCCATTGCGACCGCGGCCTTCGTGCAGGTGGGTTGATTCGATCTGATGCCACGTGTTTTCGTTCCCCTTGAAATTAATGGCGGAGCTACGAAGTAGAGGAATGATGTGGATGTGTTGGATGGTGGATTGGGATAAGTAGTGGATGACTGGATGAGCACGTGGCATCTATGCCTGTTTCCTGATAATTTTGCTTGTTTCAGTAAGAGGTTTTGTTCATCTAGAGATTCCGACATGATACTTGCCCACCAGAGTTTTGCTTTGGTGTTACTGGATGTGGGAGCTTTTGTCTGTTGAAATGTGTACTATTCTGCACACATTCTGCACACACCGTACCCAGCATTACTCTATGTATCAATGCATGTATAGTGATTGCTATTTTTGACCAGTTGCCATGCACACCAACTTAAATTGTTTATTTAATGTCTTCCTCTCAAATAAGTTATTGATGATCACTTTGTTTGTAACATGCAGCTAGCAAGGATTCACAGGCACAACCAGCTACAAGGATGGACTCGGCAAAAGGTATCCAAAGTTTCTGAGTGCTGGGTGTGTTTGCATCTCAGGCAATGTGTACCTTAGCCTTGCCTAGCAAAGACATGCATTTGGTATTGGTTGAAGACTAGCTAGCCTACATCGGCAAGAAACGGCTTGCTCAGCCAGGCGAACCGAATTGGTTCTCCATCGTCTACAAATGAGTCGTTATATGAAAGATCTTGTGCTTTGGCATGCTGCAGCTCTAAGCAACCAAACAAGAATCCTTGCTTTTGGAGGCTTTTCCAATATGAGCTAGTTTGACCTGGCCTAGCTAGGCAAGACGCGCCAATGCAGAGCTTGAACAACATCATAAGGCGGGCCATCAATGAATTAGGGGGCCACTAATGATGCATGAATCTTAGATTATTGTATCTTCAATAAGAAAATTTAAGAACCTACGGGTGGCCATGGCCCAAGTTAGTCTTATCTATCCTTCGACTCTGCACCAATGATCCAAACATACCCATTGTTTCCCTATCTGCCCATCTTTCTGGTATGCTGTTTTAAGCTGCAGTTGTACCGAATAATGTCTCTATCAACACAGATAGGTTCTTATTTGTCCCTTGAACTTTGAATGTGGCTTAGGTGAATCATTTGATGTTATTAGCTTTGAAATCAAATTTCCATTAGCCTCTTTTATCCCATAGCAAGAGGTTTAGTTTCATTTAAGTCCAACTGTTCTCTGCATTATGGAGACTAAATTTTGGAAATGTTAACCAAAAGGTATTTTAGGTTTAGTAACGCTGACCAAAAGGGTGGGCCTGGTGCAAGCGGTAGAGTCTTACCGCCTGTGACCGGAAGGTCCCGGGTTCGAATCGCGGTCTCCTCGCATTGCACAGGCGAGGGTAAGGCTTGCCACTGACACCCTTCCCCAGACCCTGCACAGAGCTGGGAGCTCTCTGCACTGGGTACGCCCTTTTTTTAGTAACGCTGACCTATAAGCATGTCACAGTTAAAGTATAATGATGTGAATATCGCATTATCGCTTTATGCTATCATCTGACAGTAACATTGTATAGTTCAAGTCTGCTTTGAAAGCCACAACCAAAAAGTTCCTTGCAATATGGCATATTTACATCAATACTTGGGTCGTAGTTAAATTATTATGATATAAATCATGCTAAATCATTTCTTGCCATTTGTTTCCCTTTGACCTATGAGTTCGGCTGCCATATCCTTAAATGATATATGCCTAATCTCTTGCAGATATTCCATTTAATGATTGGCCTATCAAACATAGGTGAGACACACATTAGTCCAATAAACTCTTTTGTTTCTCTCATCTTTTGTACCTAAGGTTTCTTTATTGTTTGCCTTTGTTGTACACTGGGGGAAGGGCGGGCCTGGTGCAAGCGGTAGAGTCTTACCGCCTGTGACCGGAAGGTCCCGGGTTCGAGTCGTGGTCTCCTCGCATTGCACAGGCGAGGGTAAGGCTTGCCACTAACACCCTTCCCCAGACCCCGCAGAGCGGGAGCTCTCTGCACTGGGTACGCCCTTTTGTTGTACACTGGGAATTTCTGCGTACTCATATTTAGTGATTGTCTTTGTTTGGTTAATTACTATTCAAGTTTTGGTTAATGCCATTCAATTACTAGGCTAGGCTATCAAGTTACAATAGAAGTACCCTTTTTTTTAATGGAATGTAACTGCTACAACATTCAGGAAATATGTGCATAAAAACATAGCTATGTAGAACCTAGTATCGAATGTATGCTAATTTCCACTTTTTTTTTTTTGCCTTTCTCATGTATCTTGCAGCTTTTTTATACCTTTCTATAAGTAGGTGTGGTACATGCAAAATAACCTGATTATCGATGACTCTCAATCAACGTTGAATTGTATTTGAACTGACTTTTAACTTCTTAGACAAACACAGTTTATTTTAGACATCCTACTACTTGCAGTCACTCAGAGTGTCCTTGAGTAGAGTTGTCACAGTTTCTAGTTCCCACAGAGCGTTTTCAGTAACAAATTTTCAATATGAAGTACTCATAGTAGATCTAGAAATGAAGCAGAACAAATACAAACACTTCCCCCCTTTTTATCTTATGTCAGTGTTCCTGGCATATTTTCATGTATACCATCGTCACTACTAACTCAAGTAATTTTCTTTTTTCCTGTGATAGTGTTCCTAGTGTATTTCGTGTCTACCATCACTGCTACTTGTCAGAGATGGATTTGCTGGGTACATGGATGTGGATTTGTTCTCATGGGTATGTTGTCCAGAGAGTATGGATTTACATTTACTATAGTTCTTTCATTGTTCTCTTCTGTTACAAGTTCTTTTCTTGTCCATTATTCCCTGACCATGTCTAAGAATTATCCTTTCTCATTATTGTGCAGCTAGTCCACAGATATTGCTTCTTGCTTCTTTCCTGTTGCTACTGTCATTCTGGTAATTTGCTGAACATTTATTTTAGTATCTAGTATGCATGATTAATTGATATGCGTGTAGCTTTGTTAAGATTTAAGGTGCAAATCATAAAGATGACCTTTGGGGTCCCAGTGCATGCGTGCTCTATGTTTGATGTGTCTCTTCGAAAGGTGGAGGCGTAGGACATAAACGAAGAAAAAATGCTCATGATCAGTCGAAAGAGCTAGACTGCTGTAATATGTACCACTTTAATCCTCGCTTCCCTGTTCCCTCCTAGTTGCCCCTGTCTAGTCAATATCTTTTATTGCTGAAGCTTGCCCTATGTACTTTCCAGCTGAACCATCTGAAAGAAAAACAAAACAAAACAGTGTACCTCCAAGGTGTGCTGCGTTCGCCTGGACACCTAGGTGACACCTTTGAAACAGAGGCTGCTATGCTTATAATATAGCTCAGAGCCTCAGACCCTTTTAGGTTTTCCTTGCTTTCTCTCAATGGTCAAAACTTTGCTATGATGGGTTGGTTATCAATTTTGGGGGTTTCTCTTGACTTGTAAATGCCTTTTTATTTAGCTAATTATCTTTATATTTCTCAAAATCATGATCTTACAGGGTTGACCTGTGTCATCAGACAAATGATGAAGACGAAGAAGACGGAAGGAGTCAGAGTCACCATGAAGCTTTACTAGACAGAACAAAAGTGAAACCTGGCATTCGCCCTGTTAATATCCGTCAGAGGTGTTGCCCAGGAATACAACTTGGAAGCCGGCAAAAAATTGTGATTTTGGCAAGTTTCCCCCCATCATTATGAGTTACTGATTGCATGATCATGGTCTTCTGAGATCTACCTTTTACTTGGTTCTCTACTTATTTATGCATTACGCCTTAGTTTCATGGAGAAAATTTTGTTTTGTCGTCTTTAATCATTTGGTGCTTCTAGATTTACCAAAGCTAATTCTTAGCTATACATTTTTCCCTGCAGGTGCTTGTATTGTCATTTGTTGTTATGTTCGCCTTTACAATCCTCATATGGGTTGGCAGAGGAGAAAATCCTATTGATTCTTCTCTACTGAAAAGGGTACAAAGAATTTAACCACATCACATTGTGCTGGGTTTATATCAGATATCTTTAGTCAACGTTCATATTGTTGTACTGCATAGAAGAAAGAAAAGCTACGTATCTAAAAAGCCAAAACGTCTTGTAATTTGGAACGGAGTGAGTATTTCTTGTTCTATTGCCTATCTGCCCATGCATTCACACACCTCTGTTCATGTTGCGTCTTGATTTTCTGCTTTTTAGTCAACTCAAGAATTGTTAGCGTATGCATCTCAGAAGAATTTTGAAACTTTTCTGTATCATTACTTCATTGGGAAATATCTATTGTAGAGCCCAAACTGCACCTTTATGCTGTTGTCTGCACGTTGTATCATGACATTTTCGGCCAAATTTCTTTGGACTTCTGGATGGCATTTTATTAAATTAAGAAGGCACAGAGCAAAATTTCATTTTTCTTTTCAAACTAATGCATTAATAAACCTACGTGCTTCTGGGGAATGCAGGCAATAATGAGAAATTCTTCAGAATAAAACTGAGAATGCCTAAATGTTCTTTGTAATATTTATCATGCATTCATGCTATAAGCCTATAACTATGGGATCTCTATTCAACACTGTCCTCTATATTTTCTGGGAAATGAATGTTGACTTGTGTATCTTATCTTTGTCAAGTATACACACATTTTTGCTATGCGCTTGTTTATAACTTTACAATTGTCACAAATTCAAGTAATGATTTTTCATTAATTTTTTTCGTTTGCAAATTTATTGCTTTACAGATACAGATGTCAACCAACATTTTATTTTGCAGGTTTATTTGGATGTATTTTCAGTAGTAGTTATTGTTCTTGGTGGTGCTCTGGCATGTTACGGTAAGCATTCAATATTGTTGATGTGTATGGTATGCCATTATTATGTCCTATATATTAGTCGGGAATTTTAAATATTATACACCTTCTAATTGTATGCACTCCCTTGTTGTGAACGGAAGTTGCATTCCACTTATTCATGTGTGTTAGCCTAGTAGATTTAAGTTTTACTCTAGTTGTAAATGCTTGTTTGTTTCTATCTCATTCCTTGGCAAAATTACGAAATTATCTGCCATTCATCCACCACTAGCCACAGTTGCATTGCACTCATGCACATCATTAATTTGAGAGTGAAGCTTCAGTATTATAACTTTTATTTTGCTCAGTTTTTCTTTTTGGTCCTACGGTCATGTAGGTGCAGTGTTATTCTCGAAGATGAGCAAAGTTCGTTCTGAAACTGTATCCACTGAGAAGTGGAAGGTATATCTGGCCCAGAACCATTCTTATTGTGTCTTGCATTTTGTACTTTTGAATTTAGATAAAAATACAGCATTTTGTTCCTTTGGGTCTCATTTTTGACATATGAGTATTGTTTAAAAATGTTTAATCTTAGAATTTTCTTGTGAACGTTTGAACCTAGATTTCAATCAGTCTTTCGTGAATAGTTATAACTTAAAAAGCATGCATTGCTGAAGGAATTCTATTCTGTATGATCTCTGCAACGGGGAAAGCATTATGCCGATTGATTTCCCTTGAAGAAAAAAACATATATGTGTTGAAGCGTCTTTGCTATTTATTGGCAGGAGCTCATGAAAAAAGTACAGATATAATATTATGAAAACATGAATGCTCATGCTACTCTATTCAAATTGACAATCCTTTCGTACAGGTTGCCAGTTTAGCTGCTGTCTCACTGATTTGTTTCTCGTCTTCTGCTATACTTGCACTTGTGACCAATGTTCCAGTAAGTTCATTTTTTTTTACAATATTAGTCAATGTAAATCCATGAGTTCTTAGTCCATTTTTAAGTGACTTACAATTTTCCATATTTTTTGTTGCAGGTGCTTTTGTATTGGTACTCGACAGATGTAGACATCATCAACAATGCTGTTATTTTGTTTATATATTACTTCATAGGTATCTTTATTTTCCTTTATGCCTAGAAATAGCACACCTGTTGTCTCATCTACAGTCTTTTACTAATGCAATTTGTGTTTCCATTGCCATTTATACTCAAAAGTGGGTGTTTTTGGTATTAAGCGTTGTTTTCTATGCATTTTGCCATCAGGCGTATGTGCATATGCCTCTAGACCAGATGGTGTGTGCCTTTTTTCCTTGCATCCATATTCCCACAGTCCCACCTGCAAGCATTCATGTGATTTGGTGTTGGCACTAGTTTTCTGTAAGGACATTACAATTCACTTTCCTTTGTGTGTCTGGGTTTATGTGAATCTCTGTCCATGTCTTTGCAGCTTATTGCCAGGCTGTAGTTTTACGAAGCAAATGACATGCTGCTTGGTCTCTAGGTGCAAATTATTGTTGTGAATAGATCTCGGTGCACTTGGTGCACTTGCGCTGCGCATGTCGAAGTGCAATGAAGAATGCTTTTAAATGAAAAGTAGAAAGTAGAAACCATGGTGTATGTTAGCTTGTTTACCTGCTTATTCCTCACAGATGAGTTTAACACAAGTGCACATTAAAGATCTAGACTAGACTACCTCTTGAGTTTTCTCTGTTCTAATTGTGCTGATTTACTGGATCATTGGTGTATATTGATTGTAGGCTCGTCAGTGCCATCAGGATTTGTGCTATGGATCATGAGAGAGATGCCTCATCGGCAGGTAGTTGAAAGGCCCACAGAATCGAGGGTGGTTACTTTGTTCAGGGAAAGACCATCAACTTCGCAGGATCCACAGTGGAGGACAGCTGTCACATCCTCAAACAAGGTACTCCAGCTCAAGTGAACTTATCAATTCTAGGGTTGAATATGCTCCTCAAGCACTGATGGCACTGCATCAGGATCTGCTAGATATATAAAAATCTCTCTATGTAGGCCCTCAAGTCAAGCCCAATTTAACCTGAAGACAAACCATCGACAGTGATACTTTTTATTCTGCGTAGTGTGCTGGGAGCCTGGGACTTACCAACACGTCAGGGTCGCACTGGCGTCTGCTGGCATTGTGATAACTGTTGGGTACAAGATGAATCTGTAATTCCTACTTGAAGGCAACATTGGATAGATGACGGAATTAGTTGTGGCTGTACCATACTTCTAAGCTCTCGGCCAAAGGGTGCACGTTATGAGCTGATGCATTAGAACTGAGGTTGGGGTAATGTTTGAAGAATTAACAAATGTAAATAGCTTTGGCAGTTAGTGCCCCCTTTTAGATTTACCATACTCTTCCCTTTGGTTACATGTACCTTGTTTTATTTAGTGCTTCATCTAATTCACCATAGAAGGGCCGTGTGTTCAACAGATCGTAATTACCTGCAGACACAGCGCGATCGGCTGTTCTGGGTCCCGGATTGTTTCAGCTTGTTTTAGCTTATTCTTCCTCACATAATACTATTTAATCATCCAAAACCAGTCGAGCTACAGTGCCCGAGTGTACCCTCCGAACACGCTGATGTCACTGAGAAATTGTAACATACACCTTTTTTTATAATGAAAATTGTAACATACTCTGACTAGCTGTAAAATGGGCGAATCCTGCTGCTTTGTGTTATGTATTTTTACTTCACTCCTCAGCAGTCAGAAGAGACCCCCTTCACATTGAGAATACGTAGATCAGTATTGTTAGTTTGTTACCCCCTTCACATTGAGAATACGTAGATCAGTATTGTTACATACGATGGGAAGCTATTTAGCAGTTCATATTTGGACGATCTATTTCAAATTATAAGACGTTTTGGTTCTTTTAGATTCATGACTTTTTCTATGTACTTAGATATACACTGTGTCTAGATGCATAGTAAAAAAAAATCTAGAAAACGAAAATGTATTATAATTTTGAATATAGGGAGTACAGAAATTATTTAGTACTCCCTTTGAACCCGTCGCGTGACTCGATGTTCACAGCGTCTCTTGCTGTCCTACAGCATTCAGCGTCCCGTGACTTGCTGTCCCGCGACATTGACTTGGTGTCGTGTGGCGTCACTCGGCGCAGTGGTGCTTCGCAGCTGGTCGTAGCTCTTGGTGTCCTGCCGTGGTCCAGGCGACACTGTGTTCCCACAGGCTCTGCAGCACTATTTCATAAGTATTTTTCAGCGAATGAACAATATTTTTCTTTCATAGTAAATCAGCATAAGTATCAGCATAAGCCAAATTACAGCATAAGCCAAATTACAATACTGCTATATTGTGGTGTCACTTAGTGCCTCTCGACAATCACGGGCACATACCACTCTCAACATCCCGTGTTGGTGCTCTCTAGCTCACTGTGGCACTTGGGTGCCCTTCCGTGGTCTATGGCAACACACGATGTTCCCACAACGTCTCTAGTTAAACTGTAGTGTCAGTGCCTCTTGACAATCACTTGGCCACATCGTCGCTATTGACATCCCGCGGTGGTGCTCCGTAGCTTGCCATAGCACTCGGCATCCTATCGTGGTTTATGGCGACACTTGATGTTCCCACAATGTCCCTCGTTGTACTGTGGTGTTACTCAGTGTCTCTCGACAATCACTAGGGCACATTGCCACTCACAATGTCGCCAAGCATCTCATTATATCAGATAAGTCACTTCCATAACTGTTTTATGTATACACACACATACACATGGGACTAGAAATGATTTTTCATGTATATAATTCTTTGATTTTCTACTAAGTTGGCACCGCCTTAGCAGTTAAGGTTGCTACACCTAACAGATGCACTCTGGTGCTTTGTTGCTTTTCCCTCTACGATTTAAGTACCCCATGACATATGTTCTAAGCGTGAAGCTTGTTCACGACGACGGCTTACACCAAAACTCTGCGGGCCAACCCTTAGGTTTCAAGATTATGGTCTAGTCGACAACGTATGCCACATAGTGAACAACTCACAACAGAAAAAAAGATCATTAATAAGAGAAAACAATAAACTTAAAATATGCTTTACCTACTTTTGTCACACATGTTTTGCGTAATAAGTTTTGCTCGCGACAATGGGTTATTCTATGAACCCAACGCTATACTCGGTCATAGCCTAATGGTAGCTCCTAAGGCATGGGGCTGTGGTCTAGTAGGCAAAGTGCATAACAATCTCACAAAGAGAAATATGCCTTTCTATATTTTATCTTATTTAGAATACCATATGTGGGGGTATGGCCCCGGTATCCTCAAGACAAGACATGGGCCGCACCATTAGAGGTGGCCCAACCCACAAGATCAAGACATGCACAACGTTGCTCGGTGTGCACCGCAAGATATTGTATAGTACCAAATATGCTACTTTACTTGTAACCCTGCCCCTCCAGAGTATATAAGGAAAGGCGGGGTCCCCTAGCGGACAAGATCTATCTACCACAGATCAATACAATACACCAAAGACACAGGACGTAGGGTATTACGTTGATCAGACGGCCCGAACCTGTCTAAATCGCTGTCTCTGCGCCTTATGTCACCATCTGGTTCCTGATTACGCGCATCCCCACCGACAAATCTACCTTCGTGGGATACCCCTCGGAGGACTGCCGAACATCTTTTGTCGACAGTTGGCGCGCCAGATAGAGGTCTACGCGCTGATCGATGACGAACCAGATGGCGTGCCTCAAGAACAACGCCGTTCGTGGCAACCTGACTTCCCGAGGCGGCGTTCTTCAGCAACCTTACGGGCTCGATGTTACGGCAACGACAACCGTCCGACTACCTGCGACGGGACTTCACCTCTCAAGCATCCAGCTCCGACTCGCCTGGATTTTGGCCAGGACCAACACCAGGAAGCAGGTCGGTGAGAAGCCAGGCGACCTCAGCTGCAGCAAATTTTATCAGATCCGATCTTAAAACTCGCGACGAGATCGAAGTTTGTCCCGCATGCATCTCGTGTTAGCGAATACGAAGTCAAAGCTTCAGGCACGACATGCATCAACGACGAGATTTGAAAGCAGCGTTATGACATCACGTCATGATCTGCACCGCCATTATGCGTGGCCTTACATCACCATGACGTGAAGATGATCCAAGCAAGCTAGCCAAAAGTGATCAACGTATTAATCTTGGGGGGCGTTTAGTTCCCACCAAAATCTAAACTTTGACACTATGTAAAAAGAAGATTCTTCGTCACATCAAACTTGCGATATATGCATGGAGTACTAAATGTTGACGAAATCAAAAACTAATTGCACAGTTTGGTCGTACTTTGCGAGACAAACGTTTTGAGCCTAATTAGTCAACGATTGGACAATAATTCACAAATACAAACGAAACGCTACAATATGCTACAGTGTTGGCACATTGATTTTGGTTGTCCAAAATCGGGCAACTAAACAAGGGCTTGGTTTCTGCATATACGTGCTTACGCATGCATCGGTCACGCCTGCCAAAAATCCTCGTGACCTGCCTCCAACATGGGATCGACTATGCGGGTTCGCCTACAACTCCGTGCACCCGTTCGACTGCGTCAAGCCGCCTGAGCCGCCAAGCGAACCGTAGAAGGACGACGTCGCCTGGACCACTTACTCCGACCACCTGCTGCGTCGCAATGATGATCGCCACGAAGAACGACGCCGTGACAGCCGCGACCGCCGCCACGACGACAGGCCGAAAAGCTCGAGCGTCGGGCAACTTCGTCATCGCCGACCAGATAACGCCATACGTCGCCGACCAGACGCTCCGTCTAAAGCTAAGTCATACTTTAATATTCTTCTAAATATTCTCCAATATCCGTATATCGCCATAATGTTTCTCCGAGCTGTTTTCTCCATGTTTGTTCTCCAAACGATTTTCCGAACCCCTGAACAATCAAGTTGATGCTCGGATGTCCCCAGAGACGGCCCTGTCTCCGGCTCCTCTCTACACGTGCACGAGCGTCTGCCCTCTGCGTTATGGTGGTCGGCAGCGGCTCCTTAGCGACGCCTGTTCCTCCTACACGTGCACGGGCTCCGCGCTCGACGTTATGGACTATGGGCTAGCTAGGGCTAGAGACTCAGCTACACACTAACTGGTCGGGCGGTTTATATTAAATATAAATACATCTTCGCTCTAACTGATCATCGAGCTACATACACTATTTTTTCTCTGGATTTCATATATTTTTACATCATGTACTACCCGTTCTACATGTTTGTATTGCAGGATCATCGTCCTGGTGATCGGATCACCTGGTGCTCGGACTTCTCCACCGATCAACTGGTCGGACCGCTTGGTTCATGGACTCCGTCGCCGACCAGTTGATCGGATTGTTCGCCGGTCGTGCTTCATCGCCAGCGACGCCGGTTACTCCTCGGTGCTCGGGTTCTTCGTGCTTGAGGACTAAGTGGGCACATTTCACCGCACGGACGTCGCCAGCTACGCCGATGCTCGGACCTCACCAGCTTCGTCGAGAACTCCTCGGTTCTCGGACCTCGACAGCTACGCCGGGGACTCCTCGGTTCTCGGACCTCGCTAGCTTCACGGGTGACTCCTCGGTGCTTGGACATCACCGTCTACACTGAGGACTCCTCGGTGCTCGAACATCGCCGCCTACGCTGGGTACTCCTCGGTGGTGACTTTGCGGACGTCGGGACTTCGGTGGCGGTTTCGGACTCGCTCCTCGGTGCTCCGGACGCCGCCCGTCGATGCGGATCTCGCTCCCTCGGTGCTCGAACATCGCCAATGACGCCGGGACTCTCGCTCCCTCGGTGCTTAGACATCGCCGGCGACCTTGGGGACTCGCTCCTCGGTGCTCGGACATCGCCGGCGCACGGGGACTCCTCGGTGCTCGAACATCGCCAGTGACGCCGAGGACTCCTTGGTGCTTTCGGTCATCGCTAGTGACGTCGGGGACTCCTCGCTCCTCGGTGCTCGGACATCGCCCGGTGGCGCCGGGGACTCCTCGCTCCTCGGTGTTTCGGACAACGCCGGCGATGCCGGGGACTCTCGCCTCGGTGCTTTGGACATCGCCACGCCACGGACGGACTCGGTGCTCGGACATCGCCAACGACGCGTCGGGACTCCTTTGGTGCTCGGTCATCGCCCGGCGACGTCGGGGACTCCCTCGCTCCTTGGTGCTCGGTATCGCCAACGACGACGGGAC